TATATATATATATATATAAACAGTTAGTCATTTGGGAGGTGAATTATGTCCCTGCACTAAATTACACACTGATGTTACAGTTCTCACAATTTTGGTGGCAGGAACAAGAACTTCTTTTTCAAAACTTCCTCCTCAAGCATGTCACTGAGTAACAGATTGAAACTACATAAATTGATCTTACTGGCTAAGCTGCTTTGAAGGCGATGTATTACCATGGCCAAGGTTTCAGTCACAGAGTAGCCAGACTGCCTGGCATTCATTTTCCACAGATCCAGATTTTCAGTGCTAGAGACAAAGTGGAAGGGCCCCTGGGGCCATGGCAAGCTAATGATTGCAGCCAAAGGTAATTGGATCGACTTAAGTCCCCTTGGGCACAGTATTAGAAAATCCTAATCAATGTCACTGGTAGAAAGACAAGTGGTGCTTAGCTTTCACAACCAATTAGATTTAGCCAAGTACCATTCATTCAAAATGCAGAGAAATCCCCTTTTTCAGACAACAGTCTTTAAAGTTGTTCTTTTTCTCATTAAATTTTAGAAGGTAGGATGACTGTGGGAAAAGTTGTAAGAAAAATCTGAGAAATGCACTAAAAAGTGAATATTTTTCCATAATATTTGATAATGACATAACTGATTAGCACACCAGTTTGAGCATATGTGGTGTGCGATGTGTTACAAAAATCTTTCTCTACCAACATAGACTAACTTTTTGTAAGCAGCTGATAATTACCATGTTTGTCAGTACACTAGTCTGGACTATAGTATGATTTAAGACCAGTTCCTCTTTAGAAATGTAAACACAGGTGTAGCTCCAACACCACAATTCAGAACACAAGCTTGTATTTGATTTATCAGTTGAATAACATAAAATGTTCCTTTTCTAGTTCAACTCATCATGTCCGTGAATATTCTGTTATTCGTAGAATTCATGCCTTTAAGAGAAAGTGATAAGAGACATTTTTAAGACTATGTTCTCTCTCTGTCATCTGTTGTGACCTTGACTATTATTGTCTGATTAAATACTGGGAGTTTATCTTGGAAGATACAGTGTGCAGTCTATTTTATTTATTACATATCAAAAGTCTGACACCTAGAGGGTGTTAGCATGCAGTTATATCTGGAAGCTGAAAAGACAAAATGCCTTTGCAGGATGTTTGAGGCATTCAAAGGCTGCCATCCAGTGGGTGATAGCCATAATTGCAAGTCAGAGAAGTATATACTGCAACTGGTAGTGCTGAGGGAAAACACAGCATCAAGGAAGGAAAGCGAGCTATGATTAGGTCATTAGAAGCAAACATCTCATCTTGTTGCATCACAGGTGTTTAGAGTGCCATTAGGAGAAAGAACGTGCCAGTAGTAGCCAAACAGCAGTTTTCTTTTCTTTCCACAAGTGAACCTTGACAAGCAAACACGATAGCAAACATCTTTTAAGTCGAATGGAAAAACAGTTGCCACATGCCTGTCTGCTATCTTTGACCTCAACCAAACATTTATTTATTTATTTATTTTTGCTCTTTCAGTCACTAAAAAGAAATGTACTGGGTCTCTACGTGAGAGTGATATAATCAAGACCTCAACAGAAACCTTTAACCGTCCCCGGTAGCACAGGCTCAGAAGTGTTAGGGCCAGGATCAGAGTGAGCAGCCTCATTCACCTCACAGTACCTTTACCTCAAGAGCCTTCCTGTCTGTAAACAGACTGACCCATGTGGGCCTCATGTTCCCCGGGACCTGCCCCTCCTGCTTACATGTCTTTCCACAAGACTGAGTCATTGCGGTGGAATAAAAGAGAGTGTTAGGCCCTGCCTGCCTGCTGCTCGCTGACCCTCATTGCTACACAGAGCTGCATGGGTTAGTCAGTCTGGTAGGAAATAACCTTATACGGTTGATGGCATCTTGTGTGTATTTCTTTGCCCAACCAGCAAGTCAGTTAAGAATAGAAATGACCTCTATTACGTCAAAGCCTCTGTTTGTCTGAAGAGTGCAGAGAAAAGAAGAAAATGGCTGTAAGTTTTATATATTGTAGGACAGGGCTGTAAAAGCACAAAGGTACCAATTACTAGGGCAACACCTGAAAAAAAACAGGAACAAAGTGTTTCATTATTATTGCGCTAATTTATTTCTTATGCTCAAGGACAAACTTTCAAAAAGCTGTTTAGGTCGCTCGAATTTCCTGTGAGATTATGGAATGTGTGTCTGAGACACAGTGAGAGAGTTAGTGGGAGAAGTAAAACATTGTCCATAGAACCAAGATTTTTCATTCAATACAGATTTCAGTATGATGGTATGAAGTGATGACAGACTGAAATCATACTGTCTATATATATACACAGTGATTCATTTTCTCTTCTTTCACTCTTGGTTTGCCCTGTATGCCTGAAAAAGTTCTATGACCAGAAGCTTGTATGCAGTTAAATAGAGTGTGGATCCTAGCATGGAGAAGCTCCTTTTTTGTGTGTGCTGTGATTGTCCCTCTGGTGCCTCAGAGTGAAGTGAGTGAATTACACTTTACCTCTTCTATAGATTATTTTCCAATGTCTTTTTTCTTCAAATGGAAGATGGTTGTCCCTAAAACAAAGAAAAAAACACACCCAGGACACACTAACAGTTGACAAAGCCTCGGCAATCCAAATGGAGCAGTAGCAAGGTCTAAGACTGTTTTAAACAGGACCTCTAATAACAGCCTACTAGAGAGTCTTTGATCTGCTGGTTTTACGGTTTGAGAGTAGCTGCCATTCTTGGAAAGAGGAGGGTACACTTTACCCTCTGTCATTGATGTTACTGTAATTCACTCCTGAGCCTTTCTTCATAGCTTAAACAGCTGTAGACTCTCTCAGTTTATAATATATTATACTCAACATTCATGTATTGTCATTTAATGACAGATAAAGCAAATGTTGCTGAAAAGTTTCAAGCTGTGACTGACCATAAGGTCAAATGAAAACATTTCAACTGTTTGAATATTTGTAATGGGGGCTGGGCTCATTTACCATTTTCTCTCTTTTTTTGGCAAACTTTTATAAAAATCCGCCCCCCCCCCCCTCTCCTGTCTCTGCTTGCTCTACTCTAAAGAAGTTTGACTATTTTCCAAACTGCCACGTTGCTGTCTGTGCAGTTTGGGAAAGGCTCACATACACAGAGGACTGTCTGTGTGAACCTTGAACAGACGAGGTTCACTCTGTTAACTGTCAGTATGACATAAACAGCAGAAAGGGGTCACCCTGCACTCTTTCACCCTCTCACTCTGCATGACTCAGGGATGACAGCCCTCACTCTACAATCAGTGCCCCACAGGTCACTCCTTCTGCTTGGGGGGTGTGTGAGCGTCTTTGCAAATGCATCCCCGAGACCTGCATACCCTTTCTGTTCACACAAAAAACCCAGGAGGGGCTGGCCTGTGGGTGGGGAATATGATAATACCCTTCAGAGGAAGTGAGCGCAGTGTAGTGGAATGTAGTTGCCATTAGTGGGAGTTGAGCTTAAGCTGGCTAACAGCTAGCCTGCTATGTTGAGTCTGAGCTGGAGACGCAGAGGAGAGTGATGAAAACATGCCTCACTTCACAGTGGTACCGGTGAAGGACCGAGCTCAGTCCAGCTACGACAGTCTAGAGGGGATTAACTGGGTGGATTACAGAGACACTGGACAGGACCCCCATGATCATCAAGATACTGTCAGCTCTGATGGTAAGTCTCACAACTTTTACTAATCTCTTTATCTCTTAGCTTTGACACAAAGTGACTAATTTGGCAGTTTTGAAGCTAAAAAAATGTGTCCTAAAAGTGATACTTCCTGAGTTGGGCTCAACAGAGCATGGGAAGGCTTTGCTTTGTCCTGAGAGCCTTGTGAACAGCTGGTTGTATGGTTACCATGGCAATTCTCCAGGGCCAGAAAGCAGTTTTCCTTTAGCAGACAGGTCTGTTTTTGACAGCTCACTTCAGGTAAAGTTGTTGAAGCACTTCTTTTATCGTTTTGGAGGTGTTTTTCCCTGGCTGTGGAAGCCTTTTAAAACAAACTGTGGGACAGATAAGTAACAAAGAGAAAACAATGAAAGGGGTGAGAACCGTGCGGGAAAGACACAACGGGGGTGGGGTTGTGTGAGGGGTGGGGGGACGGTACCACTGCAACAAGAAAAGGCCTCAAGTGCTTTCTCACACAAAAGATGGAGCTCTCTTTGTGCCAGGGGAGGATTTCCTTTCACAGAGATTGGCTGCTGAACAACACAGGAGCAGATTTCTCCCTCCTCACTCCTCTGCGTCTGCTTGTCTCTAGCTGTCACTCTCTTGTTCCTCCACTGTATCAATGTAGAAAGAGGGGCACCAGTCCCCGGCAGGAGAGAGAAGGACGAGGAGAGGAGCGAGGAGTTTGAAGCTGCTTGATAGGATTATGTGAGAGCAGCACTGATTTGTGTGTGCTAATTAAGAGACCCAACTGGGGAACTGAAATCTTTTTTTTTTTTTTTTAAATAAAAGACATGCATGGGCGTGGCCTTCAAATGAGGCACCCACGCTTTACCAAGCACCCTGAAGGCTGGGCTCGGCACAATCCTACACTCTGACTGGCCATCCATTTATATTACAAACTTTCTAGCTGTGAATATCATGCTGACTGTAGCTCCCTACTACTGAATAACATCAGAAAGTTCAAGACTGAAGACTCATCAAAGTTGTTTGTAAGCTCAGTTAACAACCACTGTATGTAAGGGCATAGAAGAGATGCATATGTATTTATGTGTGTTTTTGCATAAATATGTGAGTGCATACGTGTACATCAATTTGCAGTGAAACACTACCATGCAGATGACATGATCTGTGCCTCATAACAAGAAAGAATCTCAGCATGTGTTGACTTAGCTGTTGGCTTGTGTATTTCTGGAATGCATGGATATCTCCCTTTGGAGCCTAACTGCATTCTCAACAGCAGAAATGCGAGTTAAAACACTTAAGAGGTAGAAGAAGAAATGTATAAAAGTAGTGGCTTAAATGTGGTCAACTTTGTACCAAGCCCCTTTAAAAGGTTTTGATGACAGAAGGGAAAAAAACAGATGTCCTAAAATAACCCCGGGAGTTTTCTGGGTGAGTTTTGCACAACCTTGTTGCTGTGTCCCTTGTCTTCCTGCTGTCACAATTCTCTCTTACCCACCCAAGGAGCGCTTCCTGAAGCCTAAGAACAACAACAACCATTAAACTTAGTGGACAGCTGCAGAGATGACTACACTAGACGGGGTGAGAAGGAGGAGAAGTAGCAGGAAGTAATTCTGTGATGAATGTTGAGATGGAGCAAAGGGCACACAGTATGTTTGTGTTATGTTTCAGAGACAGCTGAAAACTAAACTAAATTGCTACTCAAGACAATTTAGTTGACTGCATTTAACCGCAAGTAATTTTAGGCATGAACATATTCAGTATTGCTCCATCTTAAGTTACAGACGACATATTCAAGTAGAAAAAAGTTGGGTGGGAAAGTCACTGTGGTAAACCAGTCCAAAAGTGGGTGCGTGTACTGGATGATTTCATCATGGGAGTGGTTGACTTGTGTGTCTGAGCTATACAGTGTGACGTCTGGAGCATGGAGGAAGTGACACAGTGCAGAGTCTGTTTGAGGCTGTGAACTCAGCTCTGTTCAGCACAGGACGGTACAGGACCAGTCTTAACACTGTGGTCATTGTGAGATTGCTGAAATCCTGAGCAAGAGCAACTACCCTGAAGTAGCCTTCACGTTTCACTTCAAGATGTCCACAGCTCTGCTTCCAGTTTGTGCTACAGAAAGTATCAATTAAAAGAAAGGGACATTTGTGAAATGATGTGGCAAGTAGTAACCCCTTTAATGTTTTAGTTAGTCTTATGTCTGTGTGCTTGCAGTTTTACCAGTTTTGCATGACTTGGTTTACTGTAAAATCACAAAATTATTTTGACATAGTCAAAAATGATTAAAACCCTGACAAAGAGGAAAATTGAACTCTCCTTAACTACAAGACACGTAGCGATTACAGGTGTATATGAGAATGTGAACCAAGGCAACAAATATGACTTGACCTAAATAAACCTCATGTGCAGAAGATATTACTGTTAGTGTAATCAATCACTCAAATACATTATTAACCTACACATAACATTTCTTTTAACTATCATTGTCATTGTTCTTCAGTCATAGCAATAGTTACTTGATTGAGCAAAATTTGGTAATTGACAACTTATGGCCTAGTTGGTTCTCCATAATTACATCAATTAGTACAGTTATTTCATTTTCATGAAAACTGACAAATTATTTATTTAGATTTTATTGTATATATAATATAGAAGTAGTACTTTGGCAAGTACTTTTCTTTATGATTCGTTATTCTTACAACCTTACATTCAGACAAAATATGGTACTCATCACGCAGGCAGCTGTACAAATGTTCAGCAGACAAGGAACAACATTAGCATTCATTTGGGTTGTGGCCCGATCCACAGTGTACATAAACAATACTCCCTACTCTCCGCTACCTGCTCAGGGAATATCAGTTGAGGGAACTTCCCTCGACCAACTTCCTCCATTCAGAACACCCTGCAACGCCACCAATGCAGACATCCTCCTTCCTCCATGCATCACCCTGGTAACGTAAATTTGGATACGTATTGCTGCTACTGTGGACATTTTACACTGCTGGAATAAAATACTAAATATTGAATATATATAAATGTTCATGTTGGCTGCGGCGCTGAATAAATTCAGTGGTCTCCTCCTGGGACCCTGAATAGTTACCTACCTATGTCAATAATATTATTGCTAAATTGTGCTATACTCATCAAACAGCGATGGCTCCAGCGCACAACGCCGGCTGCGGCAGGCACAATGAGTGCTGTACTCAGCCGTTCAACTATTCAACCACTTATATAGTCACATCGATGATGATAATTCTAGTATCAATGACAATACTTACAGACATAAGTAAATTCCTGCCTGTTAGGCTCCATTGTTGTTTTTGGCGCACCAGCAAGGCGCAATGACTGATGGGTAATCTTCTTGTCAATTTCCGGTGAAATGATGAGCCGTGGTTCAGTCCTTCCCTGCTCAGCTCACAGTTCCCTGGGAACTGAGCATCTTTTGCTCCCTATGATTTGGAATCTTACTTAACATGGCTGAATACCCTGTGCAGTCCACTTCGCAGGGAACTACTAGGCGATCGGAACGCGCCTTTGGAGCCATGTTTCTGGCCACCTTGCTTCTCTTTGTGAGTGCTATTTAGTGCTGAACAGGTAGCATACAGTGGGTCTTTCAGAGCTGAAAACAGCTGCTTGCTGTGGCTGGAAACAACGTTGAGAAGAACAAATAGATTGAACTAAAATTGTTGTGGGTCAAAAAAAACCAAAACTCTGAGCTGAGAGAAGCCAAAACACTTTGCCAAAACACTTTGTAGCACTTACCTTTTCTTTGGTTTTGTTGCTACGGGCAAGAAACTTTCACACTACACAGTTTTTTGATCCAGTGTTAATATAAACATACTACATTCTGTTCTTTTATTGTTGTAGGAAAAATACAGCAACAATAGAATGCATCTTAAAATGACCTCAAACCACTTGCATGATGAGTGGATGATTTGGAAAATGCTGCTGTGCTCCATCTGTTATTCAGGAGAACAGGGTGGCCATTCCTGTCATGCTGTCTGGCATACCACACAGATAGCCCCTGAGAGATAAACACTCTGTGCTGAAGCAGGAATGTGGAGCAGATGACAGAGTTGGAACAAATTCTGGTAGCCACGGACATACAGATACACACACACACACACACACACACACTTACTGAATGTACAACTCTTAACAACTCTAGATTTACAGGAATGCATTGTAATACTATTTAAAGATCATCGCAGATGATAAAGAGGATCATACTTTAATTAAATGATTTGTCACACATTTCCTATGGTGCAGCTGCCTAGCCATCCAGTCATCTGCCACCTTTGTTCTATCTCCTCATTCGCGTTGAGGTGACAAGGCAAGGCATGGAAAAAACAGAGCAGCTCAGGCATTGTTTTTTTCCACTGTGTATCTGACTGCAGCTGTTACTGAGGATCTGCCACACTTCAGACACTAAACAGAGGTCAGTACAAAACGAATACACTACATAACACATAAATAGTGTTAGAAAACATAAATAGTTTATTTTCCATGCATAAATGATTTTTGCTTTCCTTGGGCGTATGGTGAATGTGGAGCTGGTTGGAAAGTCCCAGTGCTTTAGCATTTTCAGATTCTGAAAGTTGAGAAATATTTGGACAAACTGTTTACAAGCATGCAACAGAAAATATTGCTATCATGACTGCAGGCAAATTCGAGCATTTTAAATTTAGCAGGCTCGTGTGTATTTCCCAATTCTTCAAGCAGACACACACTGTGATTCCTTGGTCTGAGAATCATAGTAGGAGAAGTAACTACAGGCAAAGTAACAACATGGTGCCACTTAATTGCATTTTCAAAAGCCTACACCTAAAATGTTTGATACGCTGTCCTTGAGTATTATTTTTAGACATAAAAGTAGGAGTATAATGAGATAAGAAATTTACAACAGGCTACTTTTTCAGTCTGCTCTATGGACATAGGAAACACTGCAGTTGATCATGTATTGAGGTTTGTGTGGAATAAGCTTTTAGAATCTCATGGTGGTTACCAGCAGCATGCTGTTTATAATATTAACATACAGT